TGGCTTGAGCCCTAATACTCGTATATGTGATGATTTCTCGTTGTTTAATAATGGAATTTGTGGAAAATTAGGGATGAAATTGGGGAATTAGGGCTTCAAATTGGAGAGTTTAATTTGAGGATTTGAGGGGTCATTCGACGTCGGATTTTGATGGTTTTGGTATGTATAGACTCGTGAGTGCAAGGAGTTTCTAGTGTTGTAATTTTTATCGGATTTCGAGATGTGGGGGCCGGGTTTGAATCCAATTCGCGATTTTTGATCTAATTTGATAATTTTCGTGTGGAATTCATTCCTTTAGCGTATATTGATGATAATATACTAGTTTTGCTTAGATTCGGAGCATTTGGAGGTCGAGTCGAGAAGCAAGGGCATCGTGGGTTAAAGTTTTGTTCGGTCTGAGGTAAGTAATGATTGTAAATCTTGTCCTGAGGGTATGAAACCCCGGATTTCACATCGTTTCACTATTTTGAGGTGACGCACACGCTAGATGACGAGCGTGAAAGCGTGCGCCGTTGGGGATTGTGGCTTAGTCCGCCCCGTAGCGACTATTAAGTTGCGTACTTGACTGGAAACTATTTGATACTTAAGGTTTTGTAAAGTATTACTATGTTTTGGGCTAAATGCCGTATTTGGGCCTCGTGCCAAGCTGTTTGGACCCTTAGGGTCTTTTTACTAATATTCCTCACTGTTTTGATTTAATATCTATACTCAGTCATGCTATGTTTTACTGATTTCATAACTCAGTCTTATTTACTCCGTTTTGATGCATAAAATAATATTTTGGGCTGAGCACCCTATTTTATGGATAGCCCAAGTGGCTTGAGAGGTTTCTGACTGAGTGAGGCCGAGGGCTTGTGTTGTGAGGATATCATGGGATCGGGATGCGCGCCACAGCATGTTGTACTGATTTATGATATATGAGAGGCCGAGGGCCTGATTGATTATGCTATGAGGTGGCTTGTTATAGAGCTTGGCCTGTAGGAGCCCCTCCGGAGTCGGTACACCCCCAATGAGTGCGGGTACGCTGAGTGAGTGATATGATGTTGCCCGAAGGGCTGTTCTTGATTCATGTTATAACCGATGGGGCTGATTACGAGTGACTGTGAGGTTGCCCACGGGGCTGATTCTGAGTGATGTTATGCCCGATTGGCGATTTGTGATACATGTTTTGCCCGAGGGGCTATTTATGACTTTCATCATTTTTGCCTAAACTTCATTGAACCTCTGTTGAAACTGTTGGAAAAATATCTTCAAAGGATTTTAACTGAAATTGGATTTTAACGAGATGATTTGATTATATACGATTTTCAAAGCATAGTGTACTTACTTTGATGTTATGACATGGATTTATGTGTTTCTTACTGCTCAGTCTTTATTTACCTTTATTACTTACTGAGTTGGCAAACTTACATTACTCCCTGCACCTTGTGTGCATCCAAGAATTGCTGGACGTGATACGAACGATGATCTTTCATTCGTCGCGGATATTCAGAGTCGTCAAGGTAGCTGCATGGCGATCACAGCCTTGCTCTTCTCCCTCTTATCTTCCTTACACTATATTACTGTTTTCCAGACTATGAGAGTCTTAGTTGTATTCAGACAGTCCTTAGTAGATGCTTGTGACACCCCGATGTCGGACCTTTGTTCTTTCCGCACTTGTTATTTAGACTTATACTGTGAAATTTTATTAATTATAGATTAGAGCATCTTTATTATGAAATATCGATTTGTTTTGGGATTGTGTCGGCTGGCCTAATTTTATGATAGGCGTCATCACGACTGGATTGATTTTGGGGTCGTGACGATTAATACTTTATGTTTCTTATTAGAAGACATCAAGTACATATACAAGATATTTCAACCTTAAATAAAACTCAAAATGATATAGTACTAATTATAAAAAGAAGTATTTCTCTGTATATCTCAGTTTGTTATAGCAACTTCAAACTAAGATATGGTCCAACCCAGTAAAATACTTCATATATATCGTAAAAATTGCACGGGGCGCCCTATTTGATCGCCCCCATTTAACCTATACCCATTTTTTTAAAAAGTTTTAACTTGTACCCACTTTTTAAACAACATCAGCCCCCTTTCTCCTCCTCCTTCTCCTACTTCATTTTCCTCTTCTTCTTCTTCTTCTTCTTCTTCTTCTTCTTCTTCTTCTTCTTCTTCTTCTTCTTCTGCTGCTGCTGCTGCTGCTGTTGGTGCTGCTATGAAACTTCAGTTCATGGGATGATTGCCATAAATATATTTATCATATTATTTAAAAATAAATTATAAATAATTACGTAAGTTAGTAGACAATGATAATTCTGTTCTTTTCACGTTTATTGTTTCCAAAATTTATGATTTAGATATTGTTGGTAATATGATTATTTATCTAGTATGTTAGAAAGCTTTTTCAAAAACTTCAGCTTATATAGTGCTGGAGTTTTTACAAATGAACTAAATAACTTCAGCATCTTCTGCTGAAGCTTTTGAAAAAGCTTTATGACAAAACTAATGAATTTAGGACAAAAAAACTTCAGCTTTTAGTGCTGAAGTTTTTACAAAAAAACTAAATAACTTCAGCATCTTCTGCTGAAGTTTTTGAAAAGGCTTATCCAGGACAAAAAAACATCAGCTTACTTAGTGCTGAAATTTTTTTACATGAACTAAATAACTTCAGCATCTTCTGCTGATGTTTTTGAAAAGGCTTAATGACAAAACTAATGAATCTAGGACGAAAAAACTTCAGCTTATTTAGTGCAATTACAAATAAAAACTTCAGCATATAGAGAACAAAACTTCAGCTACTATGCTTAAGTTCAGTAATTACAAACAAAAACTTCAACAAATAGAGAACAAAACTTTAGCTACTATGCTTAAGTTCAACAATTACAAACAAAAACTTCAGCACACTTGGTTCAACACACTTGCTACTTCAGGCCCGTCTACTACAATGTTGAGGTTTTGCGTGATTGCCTTTGCTACTTCAGCCCCGTATGCTGAAGTTACGCGAAAAAATGGGTACGCTTGCAATTTTTTTTGCAAAGCGGGCACAAGTTAAAACGTAACCCAAAAAGCGGTATGCAAATGCCCCATATATATCCATTTCATGATATCAAAAATTTTCAAGTATTTTAAATTCTTACCGCCTTGAAAATGATCTTCGCATATTGTCATTCATGGTACAAAACCATGTATGAACAAACTAACTTCATTTGGTAAAAGAACTAAGGGTGTGTATGGTACGAAGGAAAATATCTTTCGAAAAATATTTTTCAATTTTCTCATGTTTGTTAGGCCTAAATATTTTGGAAAACATTTTTCTCAAGAACTTATTTTCTCCAATCAGAGGAAAATATTTTCTATATCAAGAGAAGGGAAAATATTTTCCAAAACTCCGTCTCAACATTCCCTATCCTATTCTCATCCCCACCACCCCCCCAACCCACCAACCTACCCCCACCCACCCGACCCCAACCTCCGCCCCACCCTATAAAATATTATTAATAGTACATTGCTTTCATGTTATAGATAGATTTTCTTTTTCATGATATGTTTTTAACAAAAAAATACTTTCTTTTCATGTAAAAAAATATTTTTTTTCATTTTAACAAAAAAATATTTTTTTTCATGATGTAGAAAAAGTATATCTTTTATTTCAATAAAATGAGTAATTTATTTTCATGTTGTAGAAAGAGTACTTCTTTTTCAACCAAAAAAAGAGTATTTTCCTTTTAGTTATGGAACACAAATTTCAACGTTATTTTTGCGTAAAAAAGTAAAACAACACATTAGTTCCTTGGGTTTGTGTGAATTTTTAGAGACTTGGGGGATGGGGTTGAGGAGAATAGCATAAAAAGATATTTTCTACTCTATAACCAAATAATAGAAAATATTTTCCGAAAAATATTTTTCACTCACCAACCAAACAAGAAAAAATAAGTGATAAAACCACTCATTTTCCATGAAAATATTTTTTAGGAAATCTTTTTCCATGAGAAACATTTTCCTTCATATCAACCACACCCTCAGTATCATAACAATCTTATCCTAATCTTAAATGTTATACCTAATCATAATATGTACACACAAAACATATTATGAGATCATGATCATATGTTTTTATGGCATTTATAGATATTGAATGTCGTTAAATCACAAAAAATAGATAATATAAGAATGAGTAAAGAAATTAAAACTAAAGCAGATTTTTGTCACTTACTTCCTGAACCATCTTCTAGTTTGGCACGATCAGAATCCCATTAACATATCTAGGCAGCATTATGTTGTTTGCCAACTTACTCTTTAATTCTTTTAGATTGTAACTCATTGATTAATCAGTGAAACTTACAAATGATCTGCACTCCATTTAATTTTGATCTTTATTCAAGAACATTATAAATTAAATCTCTGACAAGTTCTAAAATTCGCTTCCCTCGAGAGTTTTTTTTTTTCTTAGTTCAAAAATTACAACCGCAGCAAACACATAACTCCCAGCCTTCAAATTAATATCCTTTTCAATTACTAATGTGCTCATCCTCTTGTCGCACAAAATAGTTTTTGGGCATTATCCCGGAACACACAATACTAGTAATTGTATACGGCAAAATCGGAGGGTTCAATTTCTCATCATTAAAACGCTTCAGAAGGTCACCTCGAAGGCTCGAGGCCATGGTTGAGCATCCTCCCTCGAGGATCGTCGACACTCGACTTAAGGTAAGTTTTGTTACATGTAGAAATAGATGCATATTACGAACTATTATATGAATTGATCGGTAAAATATTTATTCCTCTTTCCTCTTTAATATTGGCCACCCTAGTGTGTGCTGCTAAATTGAGTATCTAACTAAAAAAACCACTAATAAGGGTGTGCAATGGTGTAAAACTAGGTATCAACAAAGACAGACAGTAATCTTACCCAGCTTTAAGGCAATAAAAAGTTCTCTATTTATTAGCAAAAACAAAAGAATATATTAGATTACTTCAACATGAAAACTTCACGGCAAAAATATTAAAAGAAACTTCCATCTTATGTACTCATGTAAAGATCAAGGATAATTTGTCTCAAATTCAAAAGAAAATCAACATAGATAATGAAGAAAAGAGTATTGTTATATTCCCCATAAAGGGTCTCAATCCAAAAGCCGAGCAGTAGCTCAACCTCACTATGGCCTCTAGTTGTGGCACAATAGGTATTGCTATTGTCTCCCTAGTTTTATTTGACTGTCGCCTCATATCCTGAAGCAGATAACGGAAGAAGTAAATATCGGTGAGAGATGAACAATATTTTTACAATCAAAAAAGTTTTGTACTGAACTGTTGCAGGAAATCTAATACCGGACAATCCCTATAATGAACATGTTGATATACTTACCTACCTAATTTTGACATAACTTTGTTGTAACATTGAGGCTGTAGAACATGACAGTCGCGGATAACAATTGATAGTACAATATTAAATGTATCTGTAACAGGAACTCATTTGCTTCAACATGTAGACCATAAAAATAAGATTGTTGCTTCATCATCACAACAATGTAAAACCATAAGTAAAATAGTTGTTACTTATTCCCAAAATGCTTAGCTTCAGTTTAAAATTAATTTTAAACCCATCATTTTCCAGATAGCATATTATTTACATTCTCGTCTTCTTTTTCGCTAATCTTTGTGTTAGACTTATTAGTGCATTGGTCGTGCCAAGAAATAACGATCTTAGCCGATTGGTTCTAATCATCTGTAAATAATATTAGAAGGATCCATGCTTGTTATACGCGCATCTTCTTTGTTGATTAACCATTTAAGATGCAAATATATCCAGATAGGAAAAAAGCATAGTTACATATGGTGCATGGAAGATTTCGAAACACATACTTTCTGATTTTTCATCCAAAATTTCTATAGTGGGAGGGAAGATTAGTCCCAAAGGGGACTTTTCCCTATAGTTTAGAATTACCAAAATATTTTCAATTATGACAAATTTCACATTCTCAACAAATAATCAGAATAAATATATATATATATATATATATATATATATATATATATATATATATATATATATAAAAGGTTATAACTCTCTAACAACATAATATGGTTATAGTACTTTATGTTGTTATCATAGTTAACTATTACCTAATTAAATCCAACAAAATGAAAAAAGAAAGAGCTACCACAGTCTTCTTGTTGATGGTAATAATCTTATCCATGGTAATAATAACAAAAGATAGCGTCTTTCCAATTTCAAAATAGTAATTATGTTCTTAGTACTGTACAAACCACTACAGAAGTTAAGTTTTTTTCTTCTTTAGAAAATCATCAAGAAATATGGATACACACGAAAGAGGAAAGTTACATGATAGGTGCCAAAGAGAGGAGGACAACCAAAGGAATGGAACTGCCATGGATATCTTTGAGAGTTATGGAATCAAATTGCTTAGCCTGGGTTTACGGTTCATTTTATGGTAATTACAAAAAAATGGATAATTTTTTTTGGGGGGGTCAGGAATGATCTTCTACGGCAATATCGTTACGTAGCTGATAAATTTGCAACATATTAATTCATTACCACACCTAGCACCAGAACTCTAGAGAGCAACTATGTACGAAATAGATTAAATGTAGAAGAATGTTTACCTCAATCTGCCCTAAATGGCATGAAATTCTATTTTAAGCAGCGACAACACAAATCACATGGTCGCTTTAATCTTGATCACTTCCCATCCTTAAAAGGAGCCTGACACGCAGCAAATAGAACATGCGCAATAGTAAATATGATGGACAAAAAATAGCCTTGAAAATCATCCCTGCAAGTATACTCAAATATGGAATTACCATTTTCTTAAGAAATCAAGGAATAATCAGCAAAAACATACTCAACGTTCTCCCTCCTAATCAATGAGTTAATGCAAAAATAAATTGTATAAATTCTTGACCTCCTTGCGGAGAAAATCATCGAGCAACTCTTGATAGAATTACTAAAACAGTAGCTCAACTCCATTATCCTCTTCTTGCAGCTCGAGCTCGCCATGCTAGTTCCATCTATTGACAATTTCTAAACTGAATGAGCATCAAGTGCTAGTACCACATATTGAGAAATAGTCAATATGTAACCTGCAAAAATAAACAAAATATAACTAATAAAAAAATACCACTGAGTAATTTCTTTATTGAAAAATAAATTTTAACTGCACCGATTCTTTTCTGTCATGATATAATGATACATAGAAAATGTATTATTTCTAGTATGGTACGTAGAAAAGATCCTCGATCGAAAGATCATGTCAAAACTTCTGAAAAGCTTCTGGTGGTTCTTGAAGGCTTCATTTTGTCATTTCTATTTCAGGGCAACTGATGATATGCTTGCTAAATTGCATCTCTATAACAATGAGTGTTGACATGAGCTGTGTGGAGGCATGTTTCCTCTGATTATGAAACTTTTACAGACTTATGCCTAATTAGCACTTTGAAAAGTTCTAGACAATAGCTGGGATATTTTAAACCATTGCATCTTTTCAATGCAGTCACAAGGAGAAGGGAACTTTACTGTCATGAAATTAGTAGTAAGGATGTCAATCCTTTTTAGTCCAAAATTATGGCAAAAAATGCTTTTCTTCCAAAAACACTCTATTATATGACTTTAGTATACTAACGGATATATAAGTTGTTCAAAGTAGAAGTAAGTCTAAAGTTTAAAAATATAACCTTTTCATCTATCAAAATAACCTCAATTGAAAAAGGACTATCAGGTATGTCGCGATACAGAACTGCAACACTTGTAGCGCACAACTGTTTGTCCAATAATCATAAGAATACACAAAAATCTTCACTAAATTATTTCTCAAGATGCTTACCAACTATGTGAGAATCTGTTGCTTTTGAGTTTGTCATCTTATAACATTTTTGTTTCTTATGCACGTCTATCTGGAGAAATCTTTCTAAGGTTTTGAGCTTATGGAAGCACTTTTCCCTTCTAACAAACTTTCGCAAAAAATATATTATATGTAGAGTACATACTTAAAAGCAGTATATTGGAAGTAAAAGTGCTTCAACATATGTCCTTCAAGCTCCGACGCAAGTATCCAATGCACATCAAATAAAACTATCCCACAAGCATAAGATGCTAGAACTGAAGATGGTTTTTTTTAAGTAAGTTTCTAATTGAAGATGCTAGAGACTATTGCATTATCTACCCTTTTTATATGACTCGTTTGACAGAATGAGAAGCGCAAGATGTTAATCTAGATTATTTATCATATAGTGGTAGTAGAACAAAATAATACAATTATGTAAGAAAGTTGATTTCATAAGATATATCACATCAAAAGACAAAACTTATCAATTTAAATGAATTCCAATTTAAGTTGTCAAATTTATGGATCAAACACTTTATATGTCCCATATGAAAAGAGTGTTAGAAAAATTGGGACATATAAAGCATGAATTTATTTTTATTCTTGTTGGGATAAGCAACAAATGTGCAAATATAGACAACTATTGGAACAAAATTAGAAAAATAAAACAAATACAGACAACACTTGGAATAAAATCACAAAATGGTGAAAGCATCTACCTTTGCAGCGTGTCCTTGCAGGATCCTACAATAAACCATATCTGTTGGGCCAAGGGTGAACGGAGTTTTACCTTGCATATCCAGAAACATGACCAGAGTTTGTATTAATTTCTTCTCGCCCTTGGATTCAACGAATTTTAGGTTTTGGTTAAACGATTGTTGGTTCAAACACATACTTAAATTATGAGACTATTTTAAGTTTCGATTTAAGATAAGACACACTTCCACCACACCAAGACAAAAATATGCTAGTATTACTGTTGAATGTTAATCTAAACAAAAAATAGAAAGATACATGCAATGAACCTATAAGTCTCTTTGTGGCTGAAAGGTACCCGTAAAGTAGGCAGAATGTCGGCGTAGCAGAGTGTTGATCGGAGAAGAAAATGGTTAGAGTTGAAGAGAATCTTAGAGAGCAGTTATATGGATCACTTCAGTTATCACTCAAATGCTCAGATTATGACGCCTTGTTTCAGCAGTTATACTGATCTTGTCCTTAATCTCCGATGTTTGGGGCAATAAAGAACGGAAAGTAAAATTTGTTTCTCCTTTAACTAATAAAGATACAAATCATACCAATTACCTCTTGTAGTCCAGAATTGTTGTTTGATATGCACACACGATGGAGAAAGAATAGAATAATATACTGTAAAGTAGAATTGATTTGATAAAATTATGATATCATGTTATTGGAATCCAGCGGAGAAGAATTCGTGGGCGACGAGTTGAAATCGTGGGTGAGCAGTTGAAATTGTGGGATTGAAGGGCTGAATTTGGAGGATGAAATTTTAGGCAAATACGCAAAAATGACGTTCCAATTGCTGTTTCTTTAAAAAAATAAAAAAAACTATTGTTTCAAAAAAGTAGAAACTACCGTTTCTTTAAATATATATATATACACCTATTAAATTGTTTTCAAAATGCTTAATTAGTTAAAAAAGAAACAAATTTTACCTAAAATAACTAATTTGTCCTAAATTGCTACATGACATTTTATATGTGTAACACTTGGCAAAATCTTAAGGTTGACTTCTTTCCTTTTAAGTAAAATATAGATAGATGTTTTCAAAATGCTTAATTAGTTAAAAGAGAAATAAATTTTACCTAAAATAACTAATTTGTCCTAAATTGTTACATGGCATTTTATATGTGCAACACTTGGCAAAATCTTAAGGCTGACTTCTTTCCTTTTAAATAAATATAGATTTAACTAATTTTTAAAACTAAATTAGATTAGATTATCTCAATATTTTAAATAAAAAATTTAGATATTCCAAAATTATATAAAAAGTACTATTATTTGTAATTCTTTTTATATTAATTTGGTAAAAAGATATATATAAAAATATTAATCAAAGTTTATTTGATTTGAATCTGAAGAAGTGAAATATTTATTAAGCTCAATTAGGTAATTAAATAAACAAAATAGGTTTAGTTGAGACGTCAAACTCCTCAAAATTCCTTCCTAGGTTTGCTCCGTTCCAAAATTAAGGCATCAACTTACCACTACGATACAGCTACCATGGCTACTGTAAAGCAGACTTTGGGTGATCTGGACAAAGAATCATTCATTACCCTTTTGAGGAAATTAATTGGTGAGTCCAAATATGTACAGAACAACCCACCGGAGCTAATCCCGGAGGAAGATAGGATTGTGAATCACGTTCTTGATAACCTTCTTCCTTATAGCACCACCACTGGCGGCGGCCCACTTGTCATCAATCATGTTACTTATAAGCCTAAAAGGGGTAATCTTATTGTGGAGTACCCGGGTACTCAGCCTGGAAATATCTTGTCTTTTGTTGGTATGCATATGGATGTTGTCACTGCTAACCCTTGTGATTGGGTATGTTAATGTTTAATATTGCTTTCATTATTTTGGATGTACTGTGTAAAGTTGGTTGCTTTTGATGCTGTATTTTTTTCTTCTGGTGTTAAGTTGTGCTTTCATTGCTTTATTATATTTATATATGACGGTGTTTGACTGGATACCTAATAGTGCCTATAAAGATGTTAATTTGGCTTATATGAAGTATTTTTTTTAATTATATTTATGGTAGCGGAAGACAATATTAATATTATGATCGAAGAGCAGATTGACTGAGAAAACTTAACAACAACACAGTTTAAAATTTAAGTAGCTTAATTAATTTATATTTTTGAAAGTTGTACAAATTATACTGTTATTAGTATAAAAGTGTAAAGAATTTTGGAATTTAGGTTGTATTAGGAAAGTAACGTCATCCAGGAAAATGTACAGATAGATTATGCTGTTTCCTCCAGTAATAATTTCAACACGAGGTGTTTATTTTAAAAAAACACCAGGTGTCCATGTTGAATGCATCTGTGCTGAATAATTAAGTTGCCATTTATTTCTTAAGATTTTCTTTGGGGAGTTGAGGGTGCGGGCGGGGAAATTATGCTTGTGGTCAAGAGAAGGAAAAGGATTGATGCTGATTGAGCCCCATAGCTGGTAGCTTATTTCATTCAAGTAATATAATATACTGTTAGATTGTACTGCTCATTATTTCAGTTGGGGGAGCACATGGAACACTCCTCCTGCTCAATTATTATGACTAATGGGTCTGTATTCATGTGATAGTTTATATTTGAATGTCGTACCTTTGCTTGCCTTATGACTACTGTGTTACTTCCACAAATTAACAATTTGTTGTAAATTATGCCCCCTTATAAGTCGGCAATAATAACGGTCTCGCATATAATGGTAAAACAATATTGTATGCAGGATTTTGATCCTTTTTCATTGAGCATTGATGGTGATAAACTTCGGGGACGTGGAACTACTGATTGTTTAGGTCATGTGGCTCTTGTTGCGGAGCTTATGAGGCGGCTTGGAGAGACAAAACCACAGTTGAAATCCACGGTAGTTGCTGTTTTCATAGCCAGTGAAGAGAACTCATCTATCCCAGGGGTTGGTGTGGATGCATTAGTGAAGGATGGATTGCTGGACAAGTTAAAGCAAGGCCCTCTGTAAGTAACTGTTTGCTAAGGTATCAAGATTCATTACAGAGAAATAGTGAATTTATTTGTAGTATTTCTTCCTCTACATAGATTCTGGATTGACACAGCAGATAAACAGCCATGCATTGGTACTGGTGGCAGTATACCTTGGAAACTCCATGTAACTGGAAAGCTTTTTCACAGTGGTCTTGCCCACAAGGTACTCTTTTTTCTCAACCGTTTGACATCTAAGCTTCTTTAGAACTTAAATTTAAACATAACGCATCTTGTTGTTTTTACGAGAGATTCTGCTGTTGTATAATAGACAATGAAATTTGAGAAGAAAAAGTAATGATCCATAGAGGAATTAGTTTGCAAGATTATACTATTGTGTTGGATTTTTATCTGTGTGACAGATCCTGGCATTCTCTTTTTTGCCAAATTGCCTTTGAAAAGCAATAGAAACATCATTGCTTATGCCGGTATCACTTTCATCAGCTCCTTTTATCTCCACTGTTATGAATGGTAATCCGCCACATTGAAGTGCATGTTAAACTTCCTTTTGTTAATCCTAATAATAATTGGAGGAATTATAAAAGAACATTGACAGAAGATTCAATGTTTTTTAACGCCAAGAGAAAAAGCAAGAGTTTTTTGACCCAAAAAACTTAAGCTTGAGATCTGGTGCATAATTTGCGAGTTCCTCATGTAGATTGAGATATTTTTTTATACATATATTTGAAGATTCATACAACAAAAACAACCTAGTGGAATCCCACAAGTGGGGTCTGGGGAGGGTAGTATGTACGCATATTTTACCCCTACTCTGAAAAGGAAGAGAGACTAAGAGGGCCAAGATAATAACAACAAAAGGCAATAGTAGCAACAAGCTCTAACAACAATAGAATGCTAAGAAACCGGGGCGAAAGATAATAGGAAAACAACGTGAACTACTAGCAATCTAGGACAAGAAAAACTACCAGACTAACCCTAAAACCATCGGTACGGAACAAAATACGTTCGACTACCTATTAACCTTCTACCTAATTCTTGACCTCCATGCCTTCTATCATGAGCCATGTCCTCGGTAAACTGAAGCTGCACCATGTCCTGCCTGATCACCTTCCCCCAATACTACTTAGATCTCCCTTTAACTCTACTCCTGCTCATCAAAGCCAATCGTTCACACCTCCTCACTTGGGCATTTGGGCTTCTCCTCTTCACATGCCCAAACCATATCAGTCTCGCTTCCCGCATCTTGTCCTCCACGGGGCCACTCCTACTTTCTAGAATATCTTCATTCCTAATCTTATCCAACCTGGTATGCTAGTACATTCATCTCAACATCCTCATTTATGCTAATTTCATCTTCTGGATATGAGAATTCTTGACTGGCCAGCACTCCGCCTCCATACCACATAGTCGGTTTAACCATCACTTTGTAAAACTTACCTTTGAGTTTCGGCGGCACATCCCTATTAACATTTCCGATGCGATGTGTGACAAGCTCGTCAATCTCCACATTTCCTTGGATCTCCACATTTCCTTGGATCGCTGGCTTAAGATACTTGAAACTTTCTCTCTTATAGATGACTTGTAAATCAAGCCTTATGTCCAAGTCTACTTTCTCTATCACATCGCTGAACTTGCACTCCAAATATTCTGTCTTAGTCTGCTCAACTTGAAACCTTTAGACTCTAGTGTTTGTCTTTAAACCTCCAACTTCTTGTTAACACTGCCTCTCTTCTCGTCAGTCAGTACAATGTCATTTGCAAATAGCATACACCCTAGAACTTCCCCTTGAATGTGGCACGTCAGTGCATCCATCGCCAACTCAAATAAAAACAAGCTAAGCGCAGATCCCTGGTATAACCCCATCATAACCGAAAAATGATCCGAGTCTCCTCCACTGTCCTCACCTGAGTCTTAGCTCCATCATACGTGTCCTTAATCACTCTAATGTACGCTACGGGGACACCCCTAGCCTCTAAGCACCTCCATAGAACCCCCCTTGAGTCTTTATTATACGCTTTCTCTAGGTTAATAAACACCATATACAAATCTTTCTTCCTTTCCCTGTACTTCTCCACCAACCTTCTGACAAGGTGGATGGCTTCCGTAGCCGAACGGCCTAGCATGAAACCGAACTGGTTCTTGAAAATAGACACTCATTCTTACCCTCACTTCCACCACCCGCAACCAAACTTTTATAGTATGACTAAGCAACTTGATGCCCCTATAATTGTTGCAACTTTGGATATCATCTTTGTTCTAGTACAACGGAATCATTATACTCCACCTCCATTCTTCAGGCATCTTGTTCGTCCTAAAAATAATGTTAAACAACCCACCGAGCCACTCCAAGCTTGCCATACCCATGTACTTCCGAAATTTCACCAGAATTTCATTTGGACCTCTCCCTCTGCCCCTGCTCATTTTACGCATAGTCCCCTCGACCTCCTCTATTTTTATGCTCCTTTTGTAATTATGGATGACTACACTGATTTAGTGTAGTCATGTTTATACCTAATACAAATGTTACCAATTTCAAAAAAAAATAATACCCAAAATCTCGACGTGTGTTAGAGTGCTCCAAATCACCCAACACAATGTTCTTGTCCCCCTCTTCATTCAAGAGCTAATGGAAGTATGTTTGCCACATTCGTTTAATCTGTGCCTCCTCCATTAGAACTCTGCCTTCCTCGTCTTTGATGCACCTCACTTGGTCCAGGTCACGGACTTTCGTCTCTCTTACGTTGGTCAGTCTGAATAGCTTCTTGTCCCTGCCTTTGTCCCTAAGTTCTTCGCACAAACGACCAAACGCAGCAGGCTTAGCCTCTGTGACTGCCAACATCGCCTCCTTCTTAACCTTCTTGTACCACTCTCTGTTCATCCTCTTCTCCTCCTCGTCTGTGCTTTCCACTAACTTCAAATATGTCGCTTTCTTGGCTTCCACTTTTCCTTGGACCTCTTCATTCCATTAACAGTCCCCTCTGTTGCCGCTAGAGTAACCCTTCGAAACCTCTAACACCTCTCTCAACGCTTTCCTAATGCAGTTCACCATCATAGTCCACATACTACTTGCATCCCCACTGCTCCTCCAAGCCCCCATAACTAGCAGCTTCTCTCCCAACTCCCGAACTTTGTCCTTAGTCAAGACTCCCCACCTGATCTTCGGTCGATCCCGCACAACCCTCTTCCTCTT